TTATTTAAATGAACGATACGAAAGTTAACTTTTTACAATACTGTTTAAGAAATTGAAACAAGATTTACTTTTTGGATTTCTATACCTGTAAAACCCTACATTGTATATAATATAATATATTTTATAAGTAAGTGTAATTTTAGCGAAGGATTTTATCCTTACATATTATTCATTTACTCTTAGTTACTATATATTTTATCTCGATATTAATTACTCTTATATGCCAGCATGCTCGTACTATTGACATTCGATCTTCAATCTCATTATCTCTATGTTATAGCAGTGGCTTTCTTCTCCGGAAATTACCGACATCCTAACAAAGCGAGGTCCATCATTAATACATAATGAAATTTTGCAGGAAAATATTCCGTTTAAAGAGGAACCAATAAAAAATAACTATTAAAAATATAATAAGAAAAGTCCTTTCATCAATATCTCTAACTGAAAATAGCGTTTGTTAGGTTTCCCGTTGGGCTGTTCAGCCCATCGATGGATAAACCCAATAGGATTTTTTTTCTTTTAGGCCTATTCATTTAATTGGGCCTTTGTTTTTTAAGTGATTGGGGCACTAAGTAAGTCTTGTATTATAGAATTAGTAAGTAAAATCTACACTTTCCAAGTAACCATTTCAACACTTCGTCATTTAAAGTACTTATGTCTCAATTAGACAAAAATGGACACTCTTTACAGCTTAGATTTTCTTTAAAAATTATTTCCAAGAAGGATTTAAGGATATTTTCATTGATATACATGAACATAAATTATGTTAAATGTAGAACAAGTTGTAAACGACGCCTTAATGGAACACGGTTTAACATAACAGCGCAACCGATGTTTTTGCCCATGATTGATGAATTAATGATTGATATTGATGACTTCTGTTTGTGACTAATATGCCGCTCTATTGTTGATTAGATAGGGCATGTAATGTTGAGCTTAACATCTATTTGTATTATCATTTAACAATAACATACATAGAGCAGGTTATGTGTATACAGTATCTGAACATTATCTCCATTTTATAAGAATGAATACTCTTTGTTATTAAATTCATAACCTCTATCGAAAGTGTGACATTTCATGTTATTTTAGTGATTTAACACTGCATAGTCCTTATTTCTATTATATGTATTCAATTTTCATGGCTATTTCGATAAGGGAAGCCTGACCATAGCTTACTAATTTTGTTTTTGAATAATTCAGTATTGGATTTATTTATAAACTTGCGTAGCGTTTGCTGACATTATTTGCGTACGGATTTAAACACAAACACTATTAATTATCCTAATTTATTTGGCACATGCTCTTTTCCAAAATGGCGCGATTTCTATTTGAATAATAAATATTCATTGTTTTAATTTCTAGCACCTACCATTTTATAATAGCAATGTTGTAGTATTGAATCAATGATAGTGTTTGAATTATGTTTGATATATTTCTGTTTTGATAATTTTAAATTTATTTTGATTGTATCTTTTCACGACTAAGTATTTTTAAGAAACCGTCGACACATAAAAATTCAATTCGGGTAATAATTCTAAACATTTGCTTATGCGTTAAGTTGAAATTGCTGCAATAAAAATGTGCGAGCTCCCTAATTTATGCCGGCATTACGGCAATTTCGGTCGTTTTAGAAATTGACTGTTATTTTACATAAGAAATTTTGCAAGGGAGAATTCATTTCCGCTTTTAAAGCAAAAAATATATAGATACGGTCCCTTAGTTAAACAACGTTAAACGATATTACTTAAATAAAAATAATATAACGAAGACGTTATTGTAGACTGTTATATATTTAGTAAAACTGTTTTTTGTTTGTTTGAACTCGTTTTGTAAAATATAATAAACTTGAAAATAAATTGTAAAAGCAATAACGTTATGCAAATAAGTTTCTACTAGCTAGTGATTCTTTTGTTTTATTTTTCATCACAAAACAATTAAATTACGACGTTTCCTTATCTAATTTAGAAGTTTCGACAAGTTTTTATGGTACCAAAGAAAACAACGAATCTCCGTTCATTATCTAAATAAGCTATAAATTAAATCCAACATAACTTTGGATTGAGTTTTAAACCAATGGAACGAGAAGTTCTGAAGGCAGCTTTATTATGGCGGCCTTTAATTCAAATTCTAGAACAATTGCTCCATAGTTATTTTTTTGTAAATTACTTATCAATTCCTCTTTTTAAATCACAGTTTAACGAATACATTAAAATTGATGTAATATTTTTTTACACCCTGGAGGTTCCAGCGTTAGGCAAAACTAGATTGAGCAATTGTCCAGGGCGATGGACAGGACGGGAACGCCCAAAGTCAGCGAATTACACATTTACACTAAAGCCTGGTAAACCCCCTTCCTCACCCAAAGCATAGCGCCCAGGAAGACTGTTGTGCTGAAAATAGCATCACGACATCGATTGCAGCAAAGAATATAAAAGTAATAGAAAATGTTCTCACGTAGTTGAAGATCGATATTGAAACATTTTTATTGCCCTTAACGTCTTTCTTGACTTTATTTCATACCTTTATGTCCATTTCTCAGATCATGTTCTCACATTTGGACAATAAGGTACGTTTTTAAAGATAATAAAACATTTCCATGAGACTCACAGACACCCAATTTGGCGCATTCGTGGCGTATTTCCCGTCTATACTCTTCAGTAGGTACGCATTTTTTATTTTCCCATGTTGTTTAATATATTTCAAACTTAATATTTAACTAAGTTATTTTATTCATACTCTTCTCTCTGCAAGTATCAACTTTATAATTTCATTTTTCCGAGCATAAAGTATCCTTCGCTTAACGTATCCTCGGAAGTTTCATAAAAAGCTTTTTAAAGTCATTCGATGCTTTGCCACAATAGATCCATGAGATAGGCTCCATATGATAACTTTATTTTATTCTGTGTGCTTCTACTATAACTAAATTTTACTTATTGATGATTTGAAAAAGGTAAAAAAGTTTTGTTAATGGTTAATAATAATTTTTAATATTACATTTTCATATAGGAGGAAATAGTAATCTCGCTACTTCAATGTTTATTGTAAGCTTTTAAATAACAATTGGGAACAAATATGTCTAGTTTAGAACATTCGCTAATAGTCTATCATGTTCTGTGTCAATACTAAAATATATTGATTCGGGCATAAACTTTAGCGAGATTTTATGAATCGTAGCGAAATTACTTACTCGTTTATCGTCCGAAATTTAATTTACCGTGGGCGATTCACACACAAGCGACTAATACCCCATTCCTTGGACCATTGGCGTTCAATTAACTTGCCATGTGGAGCGGAGAATGAAATATAAAAATTACTATTGGTAATGGCAGTAAAACTCACAACGAAATTTTATAGCACTCCACTGAACGAGCAAATTGCTTGTACTGATACTATGTCCTAGGCGGTAAATATTATTTCATTTAAATAAAACAACGTTCTTTTGTTTAATCTGCCTCAACATTTTAAGCAACAAAGAGTAAATGAATAGTGCTTCTAGACAATTAAAAGACCAACTCGAATTTGTCTTTGATGCAAGAAATAAGGAAACTCTTATAAATTATCATGTTAAAGATATCTATTTATTCAATGTCAAATAAGGGGTGTGCAACGTTGTAACAAATAGAAATTATTTAATGTCCACAAACGTGTCTTAGGATGTATAAGATACCTTCCTCTGTCTGGCCTTCTAAGTAACCTTCCATAAGACTTGATAAGCCTAGGTAATTTTAAGAGCATATTATAAATCATAAAATTAAGACAACGTAACTGGAACTAATTCACAGTTTATGTTCATAGTTGTTTATAACTTATAAAGTTACCTTTATTATCTCCGCTAATCTTTATCGTTGGGACAATTGACTTAATTACTTAAAACTATTGTAATTAACTTAAAACTAAGTATATATCATATTATATACTTGAATAAAATTAAGTTGAAATCTTCGAAAGTCATTCAATAGCGTTGCTTATTCGACGATAGTATTACAAGGTTCTGCAATTTGATCTAAGGTTAGGTGCATCGAAGCAAAACCGTATGAGTTGCATTCTAAATGTGATGTTTGATATATTTGTATTATTATTAAACTTCATAAAAACTTTATTTTTAACTGATTTCATATTACTGGTGGACTTTGCGTTTTGTTTTCAACCATTTGTCTTCTCGTTGTTTAATAACGAAGCATTTTCAATTAATTCATTTTTAATTTTCAACACATTATTTTGTACATCCAAAGACTTAAATAAACTCTTACCTTTATCCAATTCGTAATAACTTCGAGGAACAAAATGATTTTCCTCTTAAATTGTCCGTCTTACGTTATCTCAGTATCGCAGTTCCTCCCTTCAACGAAAATTACCTATTAATTTCTAACAAAGCTGACAATAATTCATATCCATAGATATTATAAGAGAAGCTTTTAATGATAACAGTTTTTTTATTATTTCGACTTTGGTACTGATTTAATGCTTATGTACATCACGAACATGTTGATTTTATAAATATACTAGCTTTCGCCCCCCCGACTCCGGCGCGAGGAATTGAAAAAAACCAAAGTGAATATTCTATGTGTTATTCCAGACTATCCTCTACATATATACCTATTTTCATCGAAATCCGTTATGCAGTTTAGGCTACAGACTAACAAACATCCATCCATCCATCTAAACTTTCGCGTTTATAATATTAGTATGAAGTATAATTTTATGTGTATTTCTTATTGCAATAGATGGTATTAGTATTGTTATAAATCGCATTATTTTACAAATATTGTTACAATTTCATTGGCGAGTTCAGCCAAAAAAATACAAATTATTATGCTTTAACCATTAAATTACTGAAAAAAAAAACATTTTATAATTAAATTTCAACTTTTTCTTATGAATAACAAACATTAAATAACAGTATGTGTTTATTATGCTTAGAAACATAATAAAATCCTTTTAATTTATACAAGCTGACCGAGTTTTTATATCATTATCGTAATGAATCGCGTGCGCAGTTCCACTCCAGTTACAATTATGTTTTAGTAAGTGTCGGACGTGTTGCGAAACAGTGTAAAATTGTTTACCTTTGGCCCTCAGTTATAAACATCTAAATTTTATATTGTGTTATAATTGTGCTCGCTTGTACCCTTGACCTTCGATCTCAGAAACCTTCAACCAGTCTATTATTTCCAGGAAATAAAGGTAATTATTCATGCCATGACATTTCAAAGTCTGTTCAGAAAGAAATCATGACGTTTTATTATTTAGATTTTTATAGACATTACTAAAACAAAATTAAATTGGACGGAAAGGTTACAAGGTCACTCAAGTTACATTTTTAAAACGCATATTTGTACTTGCAGTTCGTTGATCCTCAATTGAAGTAATCACAGACACATAATCTTTACAAAAGGCCAACGGAAGTAAATTCATATTGTTTAAGAATTCTCATCATTCAAATTAAATAAACCCTATTTAAGTTGGACTAGCTTTTCGTCCTCCATGTTGACTTATCTTCAGTCATTTGATAATCACTTCCTTCTAGACAATAAGAGAGAAGTTTTTTCCAAACCAATACGACTTAGGGTTCTCCAAGAAGCTAGCATATCACCTTCTCAAAGGCCGACAACTTATCTGCAGTTCCTCTGGTATTGGCGGATGTCCAAGAGCATCTATGAACATCTCGGTGTTCCTGCTGCTCGTTTGACTTCTTCTCTTATAAAAAAAGTATTTTCAAAAATCTAAAACGAAGGATTCATGTGTCTATCAACTGATAGAGGTTAGCGTAACCCTTAGTGATTCTCTTCCTTGCGCCAAGGGAAACAGATCTTCGACGCTTGCAATGGTGATCCACCATGTTTTAAAGCCAAAATGTATTTCTATGTCCAACACGTTTCTTTCCTATGATTAAATTTATGCAAACATTTGTACTGATGTAAAATTTATACAGCAACAAAAAAAAAGATTTTATATCGAAGATTAATTCACAGAACCCGGATGAAGATGTGCCTTTGAAATTAACAAAAAATTACACATGAAAAAAGTAATATATGTCGTATTCTTATTAGTACTAAAGTATCAACCGATTGAGAAAATTTTATGCTTAAAAAGGGATGAAATTCCATTCAAAAGAATAACAGATAAACAGGTGTTATTGATAATATTACTATGTTTTATTTTTGCGAAAATTAGATCAACGTCAAGGTGAATACAAACTATTATTTTCTCGTGGTCGAAAAAGTAATTGGTCGTGACCGTGTTCTTGACTTTCATTCCAATTGTTCTCTGTTGCTCACAAACCATCAAGACTAAATTAATAATATATTTTCTTCGTAAATGTTTAACGCTAGGTGTTGCTCGTGACTTCGTTCGCGCGGAATAAAAATATGTAGCAAGAAATAACAACACCCATTGATACCGTAGCTTTTTTAATGGTAAAAGGTTTTTTTTTTAAATCGTCCCAACACTTTTTGAGTTATTGTAACATTAGCGTACCATAAACGCACCTTGAAGTTTTAAGTATTAGTTCTGTTTAAATTTTAGCGCTAGTATTATCGTTCCTTGCATTTATTTTGTTACATTTCTAGATTTAATCAAAATTTAAAGTTGGCCTTACTAAAAACCGCAGGCGAATTATCAGTTTTTCCCATCCAAGACAAACAATAGGTAATTATTGCAATCTTTGTTATTTCCTAAAAGAAGGTTTCTTATTCGAGTTGTTCTTATAGGTGATTCAACTAAATGGTAAAGCATAATCGTTTCTAACGCAATTGTGTTGATGTGTGTAATTAATTGAAACGCATAACGTTTGGGCAAAACGAACTATCGTAATCTTAAATACATTATGAAAGCATAAAAATGTTATATGGATCTGATGATGAAAATATATTTACTTTGACATTACATTATGCATTAAAAATATTGTTTGACGTCAAGGTATTTCAACTCCATTCGAGTGTTTAAACGTTAACACGTTATTTAATAGCTTTATTTTGCATATTATTTTATTTCTTTAGATCACCAGAGGTTAGACATCGCAAAAACTTGTTCATGATGTTTAGCAAAACTTGTCCAAGTGACTATAAAAGAAACAATCTTTGAGCATTAGTTAAGTCCTTGAGATTATATTATAGATATTTATATATTATGTTAAATAACAATTTGATGGATCTTACTATAATTATATAATTTATAATTTATTTATTGCATGAAATAATGTAAAAAATGTCACAAAACAATCTAAAAGATTCAATAATAACCTACTCTGTCGACATCAAAACATTGTACTAGTCTCATCGATATTGTCCAGTATAAGAAGGCTTTGAGGTTACAATATGCCTTTTTTAAATTCGATATTCCAACTGTCATGTCGTTTATAAATGTTTGAATTATAAATGTGATTTTAGATATTTCCTCTTTCAATTTTCAGGTGCAATGTCTCCAAATACCGATCAAAGACAAGTTAGTTTCCCACACTTAAAGTATCCAATTTATAGAGACAAAGATCCAAGAACTGCATACCAATGGTTGAAAGGAAAACACCAACTAGACGGTGCGGAAGGTCTGTGGAGGATACACGATTCACTTTACGATTTGACTGATTTTATTACGTCGCATCCTGGCGGCCCTCAATGGCTAAGTATTACTAAAGTAAGTTTACGAATATCGATCTCTTTTGTTTCGCATTTTTTAATTTAAGGCTATGTCAATTCCTTCAATAGTTAAATGTGTATTTTTATATCTCTTATTGCATCTTCATTTACTATTTAAAATGTATTTTATAGAACTCAGATAATAAAGAATTTAGTTGTGCAACGTAATTGATATCCTGGTAAGCTAAAGACTCTTTTGCTTATGGTTTTTTATAGTCTGGTATTGTATAATAAAAATAAGTAATTATCTTCAGTTGCCATATTTGTTTTACATATTTGTTTTTTTCTACCAGTTTTATAAATTGCGTTGAATTATGTTGTTATCTCATGAAGGTTTATTTCTAATAAAAATCTAAATCAATTTGGATATTTTCTAAATTAACGCTTTAGAGTTTAATTTTTTATTGATTGTTCTCATAAACTTTTCATTATTTTATTTTACAGGGGACAGACATAACTGAGGCTTTCGAAACACACCACCTTCTTGGTGTCGCAGAAACTTTATTGCCCAAATATTTTGTGAGAAACGTTAACACGCCCAGAAATTCTCCCTTCACATTCAAAGAAGACGGTTTCTATAAGACTTTGAAGAGTAAAATTCAAAAGAAATATCAAGAATTACCAAAATATTTGCGAAAAAAGAGTGATTTTGCTACTGATTTCTTATTGATTTCACTTCTGGTTTCAAGTCTTGCATGTAGTTATTTATTTAAAACTGATTTCCTACTAGGAGGAATCGCAACAGTTGTCACTGGGTATATACTGAGCGCACTTACAACTGCAGCACATAATTATTTTCATCGTGCTGATAATTGGCGAATGTATTACTTCAATCTCAGCGGCATGTCATACGAGTAAGGCACATTTTAACCTTCCTTACTTCCTATTGTACTTTGAGATGCCTTTTTTGCGTGGGTTTCACGATGCCCTTGAATCCAAGCGTTGACTTTTCACTTATGCGTACCATAATTACTAGTAATTTTTTCTCTCAAATACCTATTATTTGACTGCAAGTTACTTTTCTCTGCTAATGAACGGCGCGGCGGTTCCAAATGGATCGTAATATTTTGGTTAAATATCGCTATCAAAAAATACTTATTTCATTGTACAAGTTTATGTTATTTAAATAGTTTTTTCTGTGTTGTGTCTTAGTTTACACTTTAATCAAATCTTTTTTAGAGACTGGAGGATATCGCACTCTTTGTCGCATCATTTACATACAAACACAGTAAACGATTTGGAGCTGAGCATGTTGGAGCCATTCCTACAATATATGCCTGCTAAGGATAAACCTATATGGGCTCAAATGGCTTCTTTTTATTACCCTATTATATTTGCTTTCGCTACTACTGGAATGTTTGTAAAAGAGTTAGTACAACATTTGCATGAATTTAATTTAATTGCATTATAATACTACAAAGTTAATAAACATCGTATTTTTTAGATTATTTACAGGGGCGATAAACATGGATGGTAAAAAGTTAAGTTGGGCAAATGCGATACAATTTTTCCTGCCAATTTGGATGTGGAGTTTCGGTGGATTGTCTTTACCGTATACATTAATATTATGGTTCACGATTACTATAATTTCAAGCATTTTCTTCATGTGTTTCGGTTTAACGGCTGGCCATCATTCGCACAATAATTTCTTCGATGGGGACGTACCGAGGTATGTTAACATTCTTGATATTTTATTGGAAATTACCTTTTGTTTTATATTTATTACCAAAAATTTACCATCCTACAATTACAATGGACTACGTGTAAATTAATTCATCATTTAATCAATCTCACAACCGATTTAATAATTTTATTAAATATCGGTGTTCTTAAACGATTAGTCGTTAAAAATTACTTCATCAGACCCTTAGTATAGTGTCTAAGTAACTCGTGTCTATGCGTTCCAAATTTGATATGGTTAATTTAATTTCAGAGACGAATACTACGATTGGGGCATTCATCAGTTAGACACAGTTTACGAGAGAGTGGACGAAACTGACAACCATTTCAAGTCACTAACTCGATTCGGATTTCATACACTTCATCATTTATTCCCAACCATAGATCACGCTGAATTGCAATATCTTTACCCGATCTTTCTCGACCATTGTGATAAATATGATGTTAAATTTAGAACAGCTAATTATATGAAGTCGTTTATTGATCATAGTAAGCAGTTGATTAGGAAACGGCCGAATTATTTTAGATAAAGTGCAAGTAATCAATATTTATACGGAATTAAAATCTACATATTTTATTCTTTAACGCTAATATTTCTCTGAAATGGAAGATTGTGATGGATATTTTTGTATTTACTCAATTAACTGTGATTTTTTAAGATTAAAAAAATAATAAACATTATTTTGTGTGTTTTTTTTTATAAAATGACCTGTGTTTCTTATTAAAAAGACGCATTTATTGTTATAATATTTTCTAATTGTAATTATCTTTATAATAATATAGAGTTCAGAGGCAAACGTCTAGTAAAACAACATGATTAATTGAAAATATCCTTTTAAGGGTTTAACAAAGAAACTTGCTTTAGTATAATTAGGTCAAACTTTTAACTTTTCCTTTGAAATGTCCTTTAACAATTTTTGATGCACTTTTATGAAAGCCTAAACTTGTGACACTTTTCAAATTTCATTTTCTGAATATCTAATTTTCAGAAATGTACTTAAGCGTCGATTTCCACTGTCTTAACACACGATTTTTTTTTTATCTATTTTCTTAAAGATAATTAGATTTAGATATGTTTGTCTTGATTAGATAAAACATTGTTTTTTATAGGTTTTTCTACCACAAACATAAGCAGGTACTGATATAATTATCTTTGTAATTAACTGTGATTGGTATTTACTTATACTCAATGTACATTATTTTTAATATGTAACAGGTGGATATGTTTCCATACAATATTTATAGCCAGCGATACGTCGCATACTGTTATTAACATTAATAATGTATCATTAAATCTAACAGCAGAACATTCGTATCGAAAAAATCGAAATATAAATAATATTGCTGTAATGTGATAGCTGATAGAACATAAAATAACCTAAAAGAAATGGTTTTAGAATATAATCATTTACAGAAAATCTTGTTCCACTTAGAAGCATTTAGTGCAAAACTTTAACAAATTTTCACCGTCGCAAACTTGTAAACACTTCGAATAATTAACACGAAGAACGTCTTTAGTCTTCAGTTCTACATCAAACTATTTACAAGAGCTCCTTTGATACTAACTTAGTTGGATTAAGGATTGACGTCGAATTAAGCAGAACAACATAATTACTTTTCTAAATAAAATGGTTGACAACTTAAAAAATGTATAAAAACACAACGATTTTTCTGAATTTCTTATTATGCAAGGAAAATCTAATAATTTCCGTCTCCTTTTGTATCTCTTTCGTAATCCAGAAGAAAGCGCCTGTCCAAAAACATTGGCAACAAATTCTTAAAGCAAAAAATAACTATTTCTAGATACCAGGCCTCGAAAACTAATATAAAATCGATATATCATAAAACTTAAATAAAGGTTAGAATATTACAATTTAAAAACATCGACAGCTAACTTATTCTTTCACACAAAACCTCGATTTATATCGCGAAAAATTTGTGGCATAAAAATAATTAATTAAGTTGTACTTAAGTTAAAAGGCGTAAAAAATGTACATGGAAATTTATACATAAAAAAGCCAAGTGTTCAAGCATATTAAAATGTTTGTGTTAAAAACTGCTTAAAAAATTTTAATGGATTAAGTTACTTCAATTAAGTAAATTTCCGCTGATGTTAAACGAAAATAAACGTGAAATTTACAAAGCGTTGCGGTTACTGACCACGGCTGTGCTGCTTTGACGAGCCTTACTAAAGGCGTTATTCAGTATTTTAAATGAACTCTGACGTGTTCTAAATCTCTCCTACATTTCTACAGATGGAAAAACGTAATGAAAAAAAAAATACATGGATTTGAAAAAAAAAACTTAGATGATATGCTATAAAAACGTTTTTATTTCGTTACTGTTGCTATCTTAAACTATATTCGAAAACTTTGAATTTAAAAATGTTCTATAAAAATAACACTGAAAGGACATTAAAATATATAACATCGTATTAATCATAAGGATACGCTTAAACTCCAAATTCCATTAAAATTTTGAAGATTGTCTTTTTTTAATTCCGCGCTGTAAAGATGGCGAAACGGGTGTTCCTTTGCGCTAACAAAGGCGACGGCTCGTCTTAGAATAATAACTTACGATATTGTTCATAAATTAATTGACATATTTGAAGGGACATAAGTTTACCTCTATCGGTATTCAGTTCCACAATCAAATCGATTATGTACCTCGAGTAACTTAATTAAAATATGTTCGGTGTAATATTGTTACAGACTGCCTTCGTCGAACCTTACTAATTAAACTAAACAATAGACACCTTTCCCAGGTAGATGATTATAAATTAAATATTTCGGAAACTCCGCTGAATGTAGCCGAGGTCGAACAATTGCCATAAATTATCTCAACCCTTACTTAATTAACGTCTCTGTTATTAGGTCGAGCAACTTGTTCTATTTTTTCGTATTTCGACCGTTTTAACCGTTGATCTTGTATCTTGCACAGGTAGTTTTAATTGTATTGTAAGTTAAACTCTCAGAAATCATTTTAATTATTAAAAAGTCAACAAGACAACAGGACAATGCATTACACCTAAAACATAAATACAAAGAGCTGAAAAAAAATCTTAGTGCTGCTTATTGGCTTATTTAAAATTGATTATCACGAAAGGGCGACTTTAAGTATAGATTTATATAAAACCTACACTAAGATAATGCTAAGTGACAATTAAGTGCATGCAGCAATAACAAGCATCGATTTGAAAATACTTGAAGAATCGATTTATTTCTTTTATGAAACGGTTAGCTACAAATTTTAAAACAATGCCGTACGGCGAACAAATTTAATTAAACAAGTTCAGGTCACTGGCGTTTACACACTGGAGAATGTAATTCACAAAGCATTGCGACAGAGTTACGACGCCCAACAAGCCCTTTGACATGTTTTCGGTAACATACGCGTTAAAATAAAAACACTGTTTACAATTACATCATAACCATATTTACGTGAAACCCGACTGTCATAACTTGTATTGGCACGATGTTGCTTTGTTTTCTTCAAGGAGAAAGAAAGTGTTAAAACTATCCCTTGGCAACTATTACATCAGTGAAAGTCCACTTAAAACAAACTAAATTGCGTTCAAAGTAACATTATTCGCATTAATCTTTTATACAGCTCTTAACATAAACATGTGTGTGTCTGTTTTACAGATTTATCTTATTTCATTATATAACCTCACAACATGACATGAGTTCGTGCATAATTTTACGTGATAAGGCAAGTGCCTACTGAAGTCAGTAAATTAACAAAGTTGAATATATTGACTTAACAGATTAATCTTATAAACAAGTTAAAATATTAAGTAAACCATAAATAAGTTTACTTTGTAACTACAATGAATGCTGCATGTAACGTACACTAAATACCAATACAGTAGTCAGTTTAATATACAAAAATAAATCTTGTCCTTAATAAAGATAAATGTATATTAGGGTAAAGGTTAAAAAGAAATATCCCTTATGTCGCAATTAATCTTGTTAATCCACAATGAAAGACATAAAACTCTAATTTTATTTATTTTCACTGGCTTATTATTAATCGGAACCAAATGAAAATTCCACTCATAAAACAGTTTGTCTTGATATTCAAACAGTCTATAGCAATCTTTACTAATGTAATAAAGAGGAAAACTTTGTTTGATTGTAATAAATAAGCTGAAAAACTACTGGGCCGATTTTAAAAATTATTATACCGTTAGGAAGGTAATTTATCTGTGAGTAACATAAACTATTTTTTACTTTCTTTTTTATTATTTTTAAACATTACGCGCAGAAAGTCGCGGGCGAAAGCTAATAATTTATAACACGAAAATCAAATCAATTGTTATTATTCATAGCAAGACAAGTAAAGCATAAACTATTAAACATTTATTTTATTTAACTAAAGATAACTACGGTAGTTAACTTTAAAATTATTTACACAAATGTAAAAACACTTTATCCAAAAACAAGTCGATCTTCAATTTCTATAAATAAAAATGTGTATAGCAACATACAATGGATTTTAAAATCACTGCATATTTTTAATACTAGACAACGTTTTTCAACCATGTTTGTGTAACGTCACTATTGTAACTGTTTACTTCATACGGTAACACCTTAATAATAATGATCTATGAAGTAACTATGGTATACCACAAGATACTTTGGTTATTCAAATTTGAACTACGAAGCAATTCAGGTTGCGTGAGAACAATGTGACAGCGCCGAACCCTTGGACCCTAATTCCACACAAACCGCAAACTTACTCTTCAATCTGAACTATTATTAGCTATTATTATATTCTATTAATTGAAAAGTGTATCGTTTAAAGCTTTGAATCGGAGTCAGACGTAGTCTTTAAAAAGTTAATTAGTTGTGTATTGTTTAACTAAATTGACATTTTTTATGATTTCTTCTAAAATAATATTTCAACCTACTTAGCTGCAGTTCCGCGTAACTAACGACTATTAATAACGTGATAAGTTACCTAATAGTATCTATGTAGACATAATCACCACATAAATTTCTTGAAGTACTACCAATTACTCTGTAACCGATTGATGCAATTAACATAACATGATTTGATAATAACATCTACATCTTACTTCTTACTAATATTATAATTTCTAAGGTTTAGATCATATATGGGTAACAATAGACCCGCTATAAGATATGTTCCGGCCCCCGAGACATTTTGAAGAAACCCATTGAAAAAAAATTACATTAGGTACTAATAATACCCAGGAAGTGACAGTAAGGCGACAAAAATCCTTTGATATTGCGGCCCGCGAACATATTTGCACGCTAAAGTTTGACCCTCAACATGTCAAAGGTTGCCCATACCTAGTTTAGATGGATGGATGGATGGATATTTATTAGAGTTACTATCCTAAACTGCTGAACGGAAATCGATGATATTTTTTTTATTTCTAATACTACATGTAGACTATTTTATTTGACATAGACATAGAGGATAGTCTGGAAGAACAAATAGGCTCTTTTGTTTTTTAATTCCACGTGGACGGAGTCGCGGGCGAAAGCTAGTGAAAACAGAAATGTGAAATTGAGGTATTTTTATCAATTGTCATAAATAATGATACAATTCAGAAACACCCATACAAAAACTATAAACAGATAGCTTAGTTTTATCATAAATGCCACAGGACGCTGTCAGTCGTATGCTAAAATAATTCAACACAAACACGA